CAGGGCCTGGGGCTGGGACCCGGTGGGGTGGGGGGGGCCCGGGTCCCCCTACCTGGGGTGTGCCCCCGCTACAATGACAAACTGCGTTGTGGATTTGGCCTTGCTTAATGGGCCAGCTATAGACTGTTTTGTGGACTCAGGCCAGGGGCCTTAGCCCTGCTTAAAGGGCCAGCTATAGACTGTTTTGTGGACTCAGGCCAGGGGGCCTTAGCCCTGCTTAAAGGGCCAGCTGTAAACTGTGCGGACTCCAGCCAGGGGGCCTTAGCCCTGCTTAAAGGGCCAGCTATAGACTGTTTCAGGGACTCAGGCCAGAGGGCCTTTGGCCTGGCTTAAAGGGCCAGGGAGAGACTGTATCACAAGGGGTCGGGGGCCCAGGCAGGAGGGGCCCGCCACACGGGGATAGAATAACCACGGTTGACGATTTCTAGGACCCACAGGTCTGTTGTGATTGCTGCCCACTGATTGTGCAAGCGGTGGTGAAATATATCGTGCTTGCCTGGTACTGTAATTGGGGGGAGGTCAGGCAGACCCTCGATCAAATTTTCAAACTTGCTGCCTCGGGGCCTGGGTCTCAGAAGAGTGGTTTTTGGGGCTCTTTCATTGGTTTTGAGGTCTGAAGCAGTTTTGCTCAAAGTGTAAGTATTGGTGTTGTCTAGTGAAGGTTGTGTCCCTGTGTCTCTGATAGGGTAGTGCTTTCTTTGGTAAGGAGGAGTATACATCCCCAATGTGTGAAGGGTAGTGCTCGAATCTTTGCTAGAATGCAGTGCATCATTGGTACCTGCAGCGAACAATTTTGCTTTGTCAAATGGCAGGTCCTCTACTTTGGCCTGGAGGTCCTTAGGGACTCCTGCTGCTTGCAGCCAAGATGAACATCTCATCACCACGGATGTTGTAATGGACCTAGCCGCAGTGTTTGTGGCATCCAGGGCCATTTGCAACACTGTACAGGATATAGTGTAACCCTACTTAATGATTGCCTTGAGGATAGGTCTTTTATCCTCTGCAAGATTGTGCATGAGTTCAGTTTATTTCGTGTAGTTGTCAAAATCATGATTTGCAAGCAGTGCTGTATTATATAAGTTAGCTATGCGTAGCTTGGAGGGTTGATGAAGAATACACTTTTCTCCCAAACACATCCAGGTGTTTATGGTCCTTGTCCAGTGTATGTGTTTTGTGTTGTGGGTTCTTGGACCTTTCACTGGCAGCAACAACCACTAAGGAGTTTGGTTGAGGGTGCAGGCAGAGAAAGTCCTTGCCTTTAGATGGCACAAAATACTTCCTATCAACCCTTTTATTAGTTGGAGGGGCCATGGCAGGTGTTTGCCAGATTTCATTGGCTGCCTCAAGGATTGCTTCATCTAGAGGCAATGTGATTTTAGACTTGCAGAGAGCTGTAGGTTCTTTATGAGTTTGTGCTGTTTCTCCCAGCCCTCTGATAAAACTACCTCCTGACTGGTAGCCACCCTTTTAAATAGGTCCTGGAATTGCTTGATATCATCAGTGGGTGTTGGGTCTTTTGGAATAACTGCTTCATCAGGAGCAGAGGATCATTCGGTGCTATATCAGATCAGTGGACAGTTGGGTCATCCTTAGTCTGTCCTTCCTCTAGATCTGAGCTCTCAGATGGGGAATGTGATGCATCTGGGTGCATGGAGGGCAGTGACCTTTGTGTGGGTGTAAGCGGTGTAGTGGAAGTGTGTCGTGGTGCCCAGTAACAATAGGGGGACCATCGGCTGCAATGAGTGTCATAGTAATGCCAATTAGTGTGTCACAGGGGATGTGGTGGTCTGTATGCCCCATAACATGCATGTGCCCCATCTGGGGAGGAGTGTTGCAAGGAGAACATGCTCCCTATATCCACATGGTAGGTAGGCACTGAATTGTGATAAGGATGGTGAGTGTAGCAAGCCCCTTGTTCATAGTGGGGATTGTGAATGGTGTCGTGGTGAAGGCTCAGGAGGGGACAGGGTCCCTATGCCTCCTGTCATGTCCTGGTGGCGCTTGTGTTTTGTGACCTGAGGAACGGCGATGGGGTGCAGGCTTGTGACCCATTTCCACACTGGTTGGCACCTGTGGTGGTGTCATAGGTGTAGCCATGACCCCAGGGGATCTAGAGTTCATGTAGGGTACTAGGGGGTGGCTGGAGCTAGCCCTATTGGTTTTCTGTGCCACAGGCAAATGTTGTGCTATAGGCTGGCAATGTACCAGGGATCTTGAGTGTGCCTGCAGCGAGCCAGATGCCCTTAATGCCAGTGGTGCCCTTTTTGTGGTAGCTGATTTTGAGGCCTGTTTTGGGAGCGTCTTTGAGCCTGTTATTGAGGAGGCTTGAGACTTTGCCATGCCTGAAGTGCCTGACTCATCTCCTTTGCTAATTCTTGAGGGGAGAGAGTGAGCTGGTGAGGGTCTAGTTCCTAAGCGTGTTCTCTGAGGAGAAGGGCTTGGATGTTTGCCTTGAGGGGAAGTTGTGCTCAAGCCCCCTAATAATTATGGAGGTCTAGGGCTCTATCCATAGACGGCGTGTGCACTGTGAGCTCCCTTTCTTTGCGAGCTCTGGTTGTGAGGCTACGGCAATGCACACATTTCTGAGGTACATGTATGTCTCCCAAACAGCGTATACATTCGCTGTGGGCATCAGAGGCTGGTATAATTTCTCAACATTTGCCGCATCTTTTCTCCTTAGGAGAGTTTGGCACGTCTCCCAGAAGCTAAGACTGCTTGTGGGTTGCTGGTTTCTGTGTCCTGTTTCTTTTGTTCGCTTGCTGCGGCTTGCCGCTGCGTGGCAGTAAAATCTGGTAGTGGCTTTTTGTTGTTGTTGTTTTCTGTGTAAAAAGAAGGTACTCCTGAGTGCCTCAGGACTATCTAAACTGATAAGATGGTTCTGCTTTGTCCTGCAGAGCATGCTGAGGAGGAGAGAACCAAGCTCTGTCTGTGGCCAAGGGCAGTGAAGAAAGAACTGAGGAGAAGCGGGCTGCACGTGCTACTTCGAAGGCAGGAGCGCTGCTCACGCATGTGCAGCCCGCCCAATTGCTGCTCTCAAAGTCTCTGATCTGTGGTGCCAGGACAAGCCTGACACTAACTGTGGAACACCCATGGAAATACCACTCAAAGAAGAACAGTGGGATTGCAAATGCATTGCTCTCAAAGTTGACAGTAGCTATCCTGGGGATGCGCTGCTTTGAGCTGCATGAAATTCTTATGCACTGTGAGGGTATGCACCTTCAACTTTACAAAATCAGGTGGTTTTTTTTATACATTTGACCTTATCTCATAGTGTAGACATGTCCTACGCTTTATGTGACTCATCTGAAATGAATGCGATACTGCTTCAGAGCCTAAGTATTAAATTATAACGACATAAATCCAATAGTAGCTGATGTATCAGGCCAACAACAACAAAATCTCAAATTCAGATTTGTAGTTTACTGAATTTGGGCTCTTTGCAAGAACATATTTATAATGACTGAATACTTACATTGTAAATGGACTAGAAGTCAGGCAACTTACATTGACCCCAGTAACACTGGCGTTCTGGCAAAAGTTTAGACCTGTAAATTCATTAATTTGCAAAGCCTTAAAGATAAAAACAAAAATGTTAGGTATTCAAGGGGGAACCACTAACCAGGTTTATTAAATTACTACATACTGAACAAACCTACAGAAGCTTCCTTTGAAGTAGATATCAAAATTGTAAGCCACAATCTGAAAAAATGTCTTTTTTCTAGGCTGTTGGAAAAAATCCTTCCACTGAAAACTGGTTAGTCTAAATTTCAGCTGAATCACATTTAAAGTATTGGTAAAATACAGTGCAAATACCTCTTTGTGACATAATTCGTGCACATTGTCTTTGCCATACATAGATACAGGGCCTGCTGCTGCACATACTGCTAAGGGGAGACCTACACAACTGAAATAGAGCAAAAATGTCTCTTGGAGCTAAAATGATATTGCTAGTTAATTTCTCTTATGATATAAGACACAAGAGAAAGTTACTCACTTGCGCAGTAACTGAGGTTGTTTGAGATGGTTGTTCCTGCGGGTGCTCCACATTAGGTATCTTTGCATCCCTGCACCTCAAATTGGAGAATTGTGGTATCATTGCCTTCATTAGGCTATTCATGTGGGAAGCCAGCACATGCATTTTGGAGCCACTATCTCACATGCACAGCCAGCTGACCTTTTGGTTCCTTCTCTGCCTCAAAAGATCAAGGATGTTCTGAAGCAAAGGGGAGGAAGGGTGGATAATGAAGTACCCATAGGGACAACCATCTCAAAGAACCTCAGTTACTACACAGGTGAGTAACTTGCTCTTCTTCAAGGAGTGTCTAGGTGACTATGGAACAGAATTCATGCTTGGAGGAGGGGTTTCAGAGTCTATGGTTGCATGGTGCAGATGACACTAAGCTAGGGTGAGAGGTAGATACACTTGAGGGCAGAGATAGGGTCCAGAGTGACTTAGACAAATTGGAGGATTGGGCCATAAGAAATCTGATGAGGTTCAACAAGGACAAGTGTAGAGTCCTGAACTTGGGACAGAAGAATCCCAAGCATTGTTACAGGCTAGGGACCAACCAGCTAAGTACGGTAGTAGTTCTGCAGAAAAGGACAAAGAAGTTACTCACTTCTGTGCAGTAACGATGGTTCTTTGAGGTGTGTCCCCGTGGGTGCTCTACGTCTGGCGTCGGGCTGGTCCCGGCGCCACAAATCGGAGCTTGCCAGAGCTGTGTTCGGCTGGATCGTGCATGCTCGAGCCGGTTTCGCGCCTTTCATGTGCAGCGTGCGGTCCGGCACCCACCAGTTTCCTCTCACCGCCCCTCTGCAAGACAGAAACAGAGGAGATTCCGTAGCGGGGAGGAGGGCGGGTCGTGGAGCACCCACGGGGGGACACCTCAAAGAACCATCGTTACTGCATGGAAGTGAGTAACTTCTTTTTCTTCTTTGGGTAGTCCCCGTGGGTGCTCCACGTCTGGTGACTGGAGCAGTAATCTGAGTTAGACGTGGGCTGCAGAATCACGATTTTGGTGACTAGGGAGTACTGCTAGAGCCACTGCTGAATCAGAAGCTAGTTGCTGCATGATTGCATAGTGCCTTGAAAATGTGGTATTGGAAGACCAAGTGGCTGCCTGGCAGATGTCGCGTAAAGGGACTCCCCTAACGAATGCTGCTGGCGTCGCCACTGCTCGCGTCGAGTGGGCCCTTGGCTGCGATGGGAGCGGCTTGTCGCGAATGGTGTAACAGGTGGTAATGCAGGAGACGACGAGTTTCAAAATACGCTGGGCCGAGAGGGTTTGGCCCTTAAAGCGGCCTGACGCTGAAATAATAAGGCGATCTGTTTTCTGGTTGTTGCGGGTTCTATCTATATAGAATGCCAATGCCCGACGGACGTCCAGGGTATGCAGGAGCGCATCCCGCTGAGAGATGTGAGGCTCTGGATAGAAGCATGGCAAAACGATCGGCTCGTTAATATGAAATTCTGTGCAGACCTTAGGTAGGAAAGCCGGATGAGATCTCAATGTTACAGATTCCTTACTAAATACTGTACAGGGGGGCGATGCCATTAGTGCTGCCAGCTCGCTGACCCTACACGCTGATGTTACGGCCAAGAGGAAGAGTACTTTCATTGCCAGTATAGGCCAGGGTACCGTCGCCAAGGGTTCAAAGGGAGGACGCGTCAGGGTGTCCAACACGAGGTCTAGGCTCCATGTGGGTGGTGGGGGCCTGCGAGGTGGATTAAGGTTAGTCAGGCCTTTGAGAAATCTTGTGACCATGGGGTGAGAAAAGACCGACCTGCCCTCTACCGGGCCGTGAAAGGCCGCAATTGCTGCTACATGGACTCTGAGTGATGATATGGAGAGCCCAGCAACCTGTAACTGAAGGATTATAGTCCAAGAGGACATGCGGTGGTGAGAGAAAAGGATTTAGGCCCTTTGGAACACACCAACGTGTGAACCTAGACCATTTGGACAGGTAGGTTTTCCTGGTAGAGTCTTTCCTGCTATGCAGCAATACCCATTTCACCTGGTCCGAGCAAAGACTCTCGGACGCGCTGAACCATCTATCATCCATGCAGTTAGATGCAGAGTGTTCAACTTCGGATGCATAAGGGCGCCGTTCTGCTGCGTCAGGAGGTCCGGTCGATGTGGGAAGCGGTATGGTGGTCGCGTGGACAGCTGCAGGAGAGTTGAGTACCATGGCTGTCTGGGCCAGGCCGGAGCTATGAGTAAGACTCTCGCCTTATCCATGAGGATCTTCTCGAGCACTCTGGGAATGAGCACAACGGGGGAATGCATATAACCATGATGTTCTCCAGTGTCGGAGAAAGGCATCTCCCAGGGAACCAGTGCCTGCTCCTGCTCGGGAACAGTATGCTGCGCATTTCCTGTTGGCCCGAGTGGCGAAGAGATCTATCATCGGACAGCCCCAGCGACGGAAAAGAGGTAGGAGGACTTCCGTACTGACCACACACTCGTGATCGTGATGAAAGTATCTGCTCAATGCATCCGTGATGGTGTTGTTCGCACCGGGTAAGTATGATGCGACTATAATGATGTCGTTTCGAATGCACCACGTCCATAAGCGGACTGCCTCCATGCAGAGGGACCGGGACTGGGCGCCTCCTTGTCTGTTCACGTAATACATCATGACGATGTTGTCGGTGAGAATTCTGGTTGTCGTGCCTCTTATATGCATCCTGAACTGTCTGCAGGCATGGAACACCGCCCACAACTCGAGATGGTTGATATGTAACACCTGTTCCGATGCGGACCAGCAGCCCTAAGCTGTTTCCGTGCCGATGTGAGCACCCCATCCCACGAGAGAAGCGTCTGTTGTTATTTCCTTTGACGGTTGTGTCGCATGGAAGGGGACTCCTGACAACATATTGTTGGGGTTGACCCATCAACGGAGGGACTTCTTTACATGTACGGGTAGAGCCATGAGTTTTCGGGTGTTGTGTCTGACGGGGTTGTACACCGTGCTCAACCAATGTTGCAGGCACCGCAAATGCAACCTTGCATGCCGCACGATGATCGTAGTGGCTGCCATATGGCCTAGGAGCTGCAAATATACCCATACTGGGAGTGTTGGAGCTTGTAAGACTGTGCCTATTAAGTCCTTTATGACTTGGAAGCTCCCGACTGGAAGATGAGCTCGCTCTGAGAGAGAGTCGAGTCGGGCTCCTATGAAGGTTAGAGTTTGTGTCGGTTGCAGACGCGATTTTTGCATGTTTACAATGAGGCCGAGGGAGTCGAATAGATCCCGCATCGCGGCTACCATGTAATGTGTCTCCGACTGCGTGTGACCCTTGATGAGGCAGTCGTCGAGATACGGGAAAATTGAGACCCCTGTTTTGCGTAGATGGGCGGCCACCACTGTTAGTGTCTTTGAGAACACTCTCGGGGCCGATACCAGGCCGAAAGGGAGCACCCTGTATTGGAAGTGCTCGTCTCCCACTACGAACCAAAGAAAACGTCTGTGCACTACGTGCATCGTGATATGAAAGTATGCGTCCTGTAAATCTAGGACTGCGAACCAGTCTCCCTTGTTTAGTGCCGGTATGAACTTGGCCAGCATGGTCATCTTGAAGCGCTGCTTTCGAATGTAGCGATTGAGGCCTCTCAGGTCGAGTATAGGCCTCTACCCCCCGGACTTCTTGGGGACTAGGAAATACCTGGAGTAGAAGCCTTTCCCCCGGAACTCCGTGGGTACTCGTTCTATGGCCCCGATCTGTAGAAGGTGGTAGACCTCGTGTTGAAGAGCGACCCCATGAGATGGGTCCCTGAAAAGGGACGGGGTGGGTGGGGTAGTGGGGGGAACTGAGGTAAAGGGGATCGTGAGGCCTGATGATATCACAGCGAGCGGCTGTGATGGGGTGATAATGCTGGCCCATTGATGACGGTATGGCCTCAGCCGATGATGGAAGAGGTTGTTTGCAGGCTTCTGTGTGATGA